TGGTAAATTTGGTAATTAAAATGTAGCCCAATACAGATTTACACTGGGAGATCATGCAGGGACACATACCAGTGTTTTTTTAAATGTATTTCTAATCTACAGCTCACACTGAATCTGACTGTCATGTGCCTTTTTTCCCAAATGTTAGGAATGCTCCCATCTGACTTTTTATATATATATATATATATATATATATATATATATATATATATATATATACGTCCGCCTTGTATTATAACAATTTCTGAATCTTAACATTCTGTAATGCAATGGCTTGAGTCCTCTCACTTAACACTGAATTGAAAAGAAAATGTTTTAAGAATGAAGTCATCAGTGAGGTTGACATTTACTGCTGAGTCATATAAGATTGGATAAACAAGTTTGTGATATATCTGAAATAAAGGTAAATCAAAACTCACCTGCTTCACACGTCAGATCAAACCTCACAATCGGCAATAAAACCCATTGTATCACTGTATAACTAGAATTATTAAATTATGGACAAAGAAACGTTGAGGTGGCACCATTGTCACATCTTGGAAAAACACAATATGTTCAACTTAAAGCTTGTTATTGAATGCCTACATGGTCATGCATGGTGCGCCAGCACACCAGTAGAGACAAAACACAGGCCTCAATAAACGGTAACTGGCATTGCATTTCACAAAACCTTTTGTGTGAAAATGCGTCACAATTGTAATGTTTTCAATCGAGGTATTTAATCATGATTAAAAGAAAAACAACATTGCTCTCACACCTAATTCCCCTGTAGACACACCTGCATTTAGCTTTTTTTTTGTGGATGTATTTGTGTCCTTTTCTTTTTTTCCATGAAACTTTACTTTTATTTGAACTTTTTATTTAAAAATGATTGCACTGGGTCCCTCGGACTAAAGAAGGTGTGAGACAGTCTGTGTCAGTGGCTCATCCCAGCAGCAGCTATTGGCCAACCAGCTTTCACTTCCTCCTTCAGTGGGCACACTGATGCATACTTTGCTCATGTTGTGGCACTGAGAGGAAGCTCCGTCACACTCGTTTGCTTTAGCAACTGCCGTGCTCGTAGCCAATCCCTCATTTGTCCTGGTCGGTAAAGGAACAATTTACTGCACATAAAAAGTAATTTGTTACCAGTTTACCCCCATCATGTCAAACTCCACTACGATTATCAAATGTAACCCAACACCTTTTTTTATGCTTTCTTGAGGAGCTACAAAACGTGACCCTATTATTGTTTTGTAACAGGGATGATAGAGAATGGGTAGGGCTTCAGGGCCATGTGTAGTTTTCAAAAGTTGTGCTGCTATTCAGTGTCACTCACCAAAAAGCAAAACGGTTTAACCAATGTGTTGAATGCATTTCCTTATTAATAAAACATTTGCAAATCAATGATTGCTTCATTTTTCCACGCTAACATCACCAACTAGCAGAATAAGGCAAACCGGCAGTGGGAACTTGTATTGCATCTTCTGTGCACACATAATGCTCCTTTGCACTAATAGTGGTGAAACACTCCACAGGGTAGCTTTCACTGAATCGCCATGCAGGTGGGATTAGTGTTACAGAGGGAGACAGGGAATCAAATATTCACTTTGCTCTTCTGTTGAACTTATCGTTCCGAAAAACATTTTAACCATCAGGAAATAGCAGGTCTGTAGTAGACCTTGACATTCCACATGACTACCTATTAATATCCACCTGTAGCTGACTTTATAACAGGCCATTTAATGAGCTTTGGCTCTGCGAATGGCTTTCATATTTTTCCGTCCCTTTATTGGTTCTCAAATAGGCCTATGTGTTGGTGTTGACATCTTCTTGTCAATGGTTTAGCGAAACCATTTTTTATTTCCTCTATTGTCACACAAAATTTCACTCTGAGCTGGTAATACATTTTAAAAAACTCCACTTTGGAATACAAGGATGTCGCTCAGGATGTCAATTGAATTACAGGAGGGCCAGAGAGTTAGTTATGGTATGTTGTCCACACACACCCACACACACACACACAAACACACACACAGAGTCTTTATTATCAGATCCAAACTACGTGTGTCTTCCCAGATTCTGTGTGGATGTACTCACATCCAGGAGTGGGGATCACACTCATTCTGGAGGCCAGGCGTTGGTTTCTGCAGGTCGCCACAGGAATGCCAGCACTGTGCCTCCATTGTGGACCCCATCGGGTCAGAAACAGCAACTTTGTGCCCCTGTCAGCACCGATGTGTATTTTAGTGGCTTCAAACATCGTCAACATTTGGCAAATCTCAAATTAAACACAGTTAGCAGTTGGAATAGTTATTTTAGCACGCACACAAACCCTCACCACTGCTTTGTTTATAGTAAACAGTAAACAGTGTATGAGAATGAACAATGGTCTCTTTCAGAGATGGAAAAAAAAAAAAAGACTTCCTCCACTGTGTAGTTTATATTTTTTCCCTGATATTAATCATTATCTATATATTTTTAGACATGCGTGTGTCTCCTAAAGTCAGAAACAAAATGAGACAGGGCAGCTACCTGGATGTTGTAGGCTGGGCTGCAGATTAATGGTGAGTCACCTGGACAACATAAGAGGACGAGAGAGAGAGAGAGAGAGAGAGAGAGAGAGAGAGAGAGAGAGAGAGAG